ATAATATTAAAAAAATTGGAAGATGCATTTGGTTTGTATCTCCTACAACCTGGTTGGACGGTGTATAAAAGATTATTGGAAACACGGCATACAAAAATTTTTCACGGCAAATACGTGAGAGCCGTGAACCAACTAGCACAATTGCACTTAAACCTTGTCTGGCTCTGAGGATTTTTTAAAAGTTAACATTTATTGTGCTTATCAGTTATATATACTTATGCAGTTTGACAATCATATGAAACGTACACTTGTGGATAGCAGGCTTAAAATATATGGATTGATTCCAAATACCGAAACAATAGTATTTCAATATGATAGTAATGGAAGTCTTCACAAGCTGTTAAGAAAAATTCTCGTGATCTTGCCTGGAAAACTAAATCAAAAACTACTACTTGATATTCCTAACGATTTATGGAACATTCATATATTCATTCAGACTTTCACAGTGACAATATTTTGCAGGATAAAGGCATTAGTGAAAGTTTGCAATCCTACGTCTCAGATCTAGGGTTGTCTAAAAAATATAACAAAATCGATTCAGTGATGCCTTATGTCTCTTCCGAGGTCTAATCAGGTCAGAGGTGGACAAAACCCTTTTGATGGTTACAAATTTAATCTTACACCTGAGATGTAAGAATGCATATTTTCACTAATGCTTCTGTCCTCAAAGTACTGTCACTATAAAAGTCCACGTGAACATATGAATGCTCAATAAATCTCATGATTTTATCACTCCGTTCCTGGTATAACACCATCATTTTATATATTTACATACTATATATTTACATATCTGCTATAACCCGGATACACTTTTATAACTTTTCCAGCAAAAGATCCATTTAAATTTGATTATCAAAACATTTATATCAGATAAGCTTTTATGTTTTTCAGCAACTATTTAAAAATTCAACCTTCCGGGTTTTAATTTTTCTTTGATAAAAATATTTTTTTTGTCAAAAAATTTTAACTGTTCAAAAAATAAATTTATTTTTGAAATGCATTATCGAAGTTTTAAGTTCTGGTTCTCTTAGTTGATGGTGACCCTCTTTTCATCAAAAAATTTTCTTTTAAACTCGCGTCGTTAAATGCAACCGAAAATCTAGGATTATACTCTTTCATCAATATCGTCAAAAAATTCCTTCTCGTTATATTTTGTAATGATATCGAAAGCCATGTGACACATCCGAAGTTTATATTGTTATGAGTCATTAAAGCCAATTGATGCCATATAAACTGAGCTACCGTATTTCTGCGACATGCGTACCCGGGGTATTCCATAGCTCATATTATGTACCCGGGTACTCGTGTGGGGGGATACACCGTATGATACTTCTATGTATTTAATATGTTTTACCGTTACTATTAAATGCCCGGGTATATAAGTATGATATCCTCATACTTATATATTTGGCATCCAAAATCGCCGCAAGGTACAGCCCACAGGGGGGTACACATGTCGCAGAAATACGGTAGTTTAAACAGTTTAACATCCCAGCATTCTAAACGGCGGTTGATAAATTTAACTGTATGAAATTGACCAATCATGAGAAATTTGACCTATATACTTAGTCATGTTTCCCTAATGATTGTGTAACAGATCTACAAATGGTCCGAACATAATCAAACCGGGCACTAATTGCAGTTTTAACAAACGAACTTTTTAAAACAAATGAGCGGTATTAGTGACGTAGAAAGACAACAATATTTTCAGGTTTTTTCTAACCTTGGACCTTCACCTAATGGATATCTTTCAGGTTAGTCTCTTGTCAGTTTTACTAGGTTAAAGACAGAAGCTTGCAACTAAGCATTTTATACACGTTTCAGGCAATCAGGCAATGAATTGGCTTTTGAATTCGAAACTTCCAGTAACATGGCTTGAAAGAATATGGTATTTAATAAATAAATTTATTGCTGCTTAAAAACACGTGTTTGTTAATTAGTCTTGTTTGCTTTTAAAGGGATCTTTGTGATATTGATAAAGATGGTCAACTCGACTTTGATGAGTTCTCGGTAACCTGTAGACTTGTTAATGATCTTTTAGCTTGTGTATATCCGGATGTACCTTCTTCACTCCCATCTCACTTGATCCCTCCTGGCAAGGCACATCTGTTTGTAGGGAATAATCCTGGGTATGTTGGCGGCGGTCCATCGTTGGGAATGAATCCATCCCTTTATTCGCAACAAATCATTAGTCCTATTCCACAGCCCGCCAACACAATTTCTCAACTCAATATTTCAAATACGATTCCTTCCTATCAATTATCACAACAATTGTCACGAGTTCCTACACCTCCTCGCCAGGTCCGATCTCCTTAATTTCCCTATTATATATTGGTTATCTTTGTTGTTTTATTAAAATATTATATTGTACAGGTTTAATGAACCTCTTTTTTTCGATCTACGTTAAAATAGAATAGTTACAGTGGTGGTTTTCCCACTGCTCCATTGTCTGATGATTTTGATTGGTATATGCCACCCGCTGATAAGTTTAATTACGAAAATGAATATAAGAAGAAAGCTGGTCCTCACGGTTATGTTAGATGTAAGTTATTCAAATTATGAAATATATGTATATCGTTTCTTCCTATGATTTACATGTTTCTTTATTAAGCTTTTATATTTATTGGTTTCAGTTGCTGACTTTGATGAGCTCTATCAACGGCTTGGAATACCAAGAGAAGAATGTATTGCAGCATGGTTTGTTTCATTTTATTTTTATCTATAATTAAGGACTACTTAACCAAATATTTGTTATCGTTTTTAGGGGTCTCATTGATGTAAACTTTGAACAACGAGTAGGCAAAGACCAATGTCTTGTATTTCTTCATACTTTAAATCAGCGAAGTAAAGGTAAACGAATACCTGATAGTTTACCGAACGCTTTGAAAACCTCACTTATAAGAGGAAAACTTAATTACAATTACAATGAAACTGCTGATCCATCATGGAAATCAAAGTTATCTGATAGTGGTTCTGTAAAGTCAAGTGGTTATAGTAGTGAAACTCAGTCGAGTATGTGCCAATACAATTATATGTGTTTATTTATAAGCATACGATTAATATGAATTATTTTATAGGTTCTTTAAAATGGGAGGAAGATCGATTGCAAAAGGAACTTGATGATTTAAATGAAAAGATTCAGAAAGCTGAAGCAACTGCATTATCTTCTTATACAAGTGCGCTTCAATCAGGTGTTGTAACGGAATTCAAACAATTGTACGAATATAAGCAAAAAAAGCATGCCGAATTGAATGAAAAAGAACAGACGAATAGAACACTTGAGGAATATGTTCGAAAAGAACGAAATAATGTGCGTGAACTACAAGATAATATACAATCTTTAAAAAGTAAAATACAACTATTGGAAAATAATTTAGATTCAAGTCAAACCGAGTATAAAAAGCTTCAACGAGAGATTGATAGTGCAAAACTGATGCGGTAGTGGGTCGCACTATTTTGTTATCCGTATATTATTTATGATTGTTCTTTATAGAGATAGCCTTGGTATAAATATATTTTAAATTCATTATCACGTAGAGTGATAAGACAAAAAACATTTAAGTGTACGAGCAAGAATAATTGTTTAAACCGCCATAAGACATTCAAATAATAATTTATTAAATATAATAGTATAAAAATACTAAGTAGTCATTTTATAAATTAAATTCTATGGTCAGCTTCCGCTATAGTCACATGTTCCAATCTGGCATCTTATGTGCCTATTTTTGAGATTATGAGCAAAATCTAGAGATATATGTCGAATATGATTGGGTATAGAGTTCCGAACCGGATATAAAATTGTCACCCGGATCATCACCCGTATAATCTGAAATCGGGTAAACCGGTTGAAAAAGGTTGAAATAATCGTGACGGCGAGAATTATGGATGA